ATTGCCATTTGAATTTTTTTTGTCGAAAATCTCTTGGTTAGGAAAAACGAAATACTGAAGATGCGTTTTTTCCGTTTTTTTAGGAAAATACTGTTTTCTACCTAACTGCGCCAAAATAAGTTGAAACTTAACGATATTTTCACATATCGTAGAGTTTAGTGATAGCTTTCTTTTGACGAAAGGATGAAATCTCTATCTGTCAGGAAAGCCGAGATATTGTAAAATAAAAAAGGTCTTAAACTTTTGAACAGCACTGTTATTAAATAAAAATTAAACCAATCCTGAAGGGGTTAAGGAGGGCGGGGGGCTCTATTTAGATTTTTCTCTAACGTTCCCGGTTTGTAGAGGACACTTCGAAGTATATGTTCTGAAGTTTTTTCGGCTTACTGGTATTATTTGGCTGAGAAAAAAATTAATTACTTAAAAAAATCTTGCTAAATTTTTGAACGAGGGATTATTATTAAAAAAATTCCTATCCATGCTCCTCCATTCAACACAAAAGCTTGGTTCTTGCCTAGATAGCTAGAGAAATGTGTGGAGAATATTTGTTCTTTCCTTCCTGGTATTGACTAATTAGTAGTAATTAACATTAATTTAGCCTACTCTACTAGCATAAAGTCTTATTTGTAAAATAGCAACGCAACAAAAAAGTTCAAGCAATACCTCATCTGACAGAGAATTTCACGGGCTACAATATGGACTACCTTAAAAATTTTAAAATTCGTTTTTGGTTGTTCGGTAAGTCTGGTAGGTCGAAAATTTAACAATATTGTTTTAAGTAATTAATTTTTTTCTCAGCCAAATAATTTCAGTAACCCGAAAAAACTTCCGAACGTACACTTCGAAGTGTTCTCTACAAACCAGGAAGGCTTGAAGAAAAAAATTCAAAACTTGAAAATATCACTGGTTTTTGGCTTACCGAAGATTTTTTTATCTAACCTTACGTCTAGTTTCGCCCGAACCAAGCATTTTAACGCAAAACTCTGAATGTAAAAGTTGTTCAGAATCGAATTTTGGAGTTCCTAACGAGAGCTTTTTTAACATTTTCTGTTTTTGACTTTTAAATTAAATTTTACGGTTTTTAACATTTTAAAATTTCGTATTTTTCAATTTAAAAATCAAAAACAGAAAATGTTATAAAAGCTCTCGTTAGGAACTCCAAAATTCGATTGTGAACAACTTTTGCATTCAGAGTTTTGCTTCAAAATGCTTGGTTCGAGCGAAACTAGCCGTAAGGTGAGGTGAAAAATACTTTTAGCTCTGAAGTTTCCTCGCGAAGGTGAACGTTAAATTTCTGTGCTAAACTTCATTCGGGAACGATGAAAAGGGTTTCTTCTTATACAAATTGATGTTCTCTATCGAACTACGCTAGAATCAACTCTTCATATAAAAAAATGAGGTTTCTGTTGAAATTTTAAAAATAGGGCAAAAAACCCGAAAAAACTTAATGTTTTTTATCAAAAGCTATAAATCTGGGAACCGAAAGCTTTGTTGGGACATACACTCCGAAGTATCCGCCACAAACTGGTGGGGACTCCCCCCTTAAGGGTATCCTTCCCCTCTTTTTTCAGCTTCTTGGAAACCGGGGAAGCCGATGCTGGATCGGGTTCAAATTTATACCAGAGACAGAACATCAAAAAAGAAAATCGATGTATTTTTGCTCAGAATTTTCTGACATGTTCTTCTATGGGTTTTCTGGAAAACTCCAATTTTCAATGGCACACATTACGACCCCTCGAAAAAATGGTCCGATCGAGCTCAAAATTTTACCACAGATACCTCAGACCCTATCTCAGGTTCATTTTTTATCTTTTCGAAAAATAACGTTTCCTTCTCGAGATATTCGAAAAATACTGAAAATCCCATACAAAAAACTGGTTTTTCATTTTGAAAACCTTCTCACATCGAGAATTGAAACAGCAAACGCTTTTAAAAAATGAACCTGAGATAGAATCTGAAGTATCTGTGGTAAAATTTTGAGCTCGATCGGACCATGTTGACTTCCTAAACATGTGAAACACAAAAATTATCTAACAAAAGTTTTTTCATCCTAATTTGTACTAGCAATAAATATATACGAGAAAACATCTCAGTATGGAAACTTTTATAGAGGTTAACATTTTAAGATATCTCCATTTGTACTGTTGAACAACGAGATTAAAATTTAATTTTAGTGTGAAAGTAGATAAGACAGAATCAGATACGATTGTGATGATGATCCGAAGGACAACGCATAAATCATCGCCTAATGCAATTGAAACACGCTCGAAATGATTGTCGTGTTTATAACATTAGTAAAAAAAAATAAAAAAAATGATCCTTATTTTTTTTATCACAATATTGATCGATATATATGATAAGAAATATAAAAAGAAAGACAACAATAAAACTCAAAAGATTCACATCTATATACGCATTATCTATTTGATAAACTTTTTGTACAGAATTTCTGTACATAAACATAATAGTATGCAACAGAAAGACAAAGTTAGCAAAAAAAAAACATATAAGCTTGCTCTCCTATACGTGCATACGCACAGCGAAAAAAAAACGAAACAAAAAAATACCTATATCACACACAAAACATATATGTATCAAAAAACAATGTTTTAATCGATCTGGCATAGAAAAATTTTGTTTTGCCGTTCTACTAATAACATTAATTTATTATGTTATCAAATGATAATAGTACGTCGAAGTTTTAATCAATAAGATATATATATGTACAATCTTTTATGAATATTAAGCAAAAGAAAAACGTTCAACAATCGTAAGTAAAATACTTGAAAAGACACTTCTCATTAGGTAATGTAATTTCTTATTAGCAGAGACCTATAACTGTCAATTCTTATCGAAATAACTATACATTAAAACGAGAGATATAAATGGAACAGGATTAACTATAAAATGTTCATCTTTTATCGTAGAAGTCAAAATTTTTCTGTCTTTTAGGCATTAAAATGTACAAATATTTTAAAACATGAAGAAAATTGAGTTTCTGATAGAGCTGAATTAATCAAAATATTTTCACAGGTTGAACCGGTCGTAGATCGAATTTTTCCTTAATCAAGCTGGACTCGAAGGGAGAAAATTTTGACCTATCTGGATCTATCCTAAGCTATTTCCAGTTGTTACACATATTCGACAGAATTGTCCTACATGACAAATAGATAAAGAGAGAAACACTTGCCCTACTCTCTTTATCATAAACATAAATGTATGCCGTTTTTTTAATATCTTAATCCTCATATGTTTGACATTGAACTTTTTACTTCTTTCTTCTTTAACCTTTGATTTAAAATTATGCACACTGTATTTAGTAAAAGTTTTTCCGTTTCTAAGTGAGAAAGTGTTCTAAAAACAAAACTTTACTTTAGTACAACACTAAGATCCCTGATATAAGCAATACAATTTAATTTGTAGCTTATGCATCACTATTTAAAGTATGTAATCTGTATTAGCTGCACTTAAATACACATACCTACATATAATAAATAGAATAAACAACATTTGTATTATTTATTTTTGAGAAGAAAGTGAGAACTTAAATGAAAATAGAAGCCAATGAAAGAGAAAAAAAATATATGTATGATTTCAAATGTTTTTTTAGAGACAATTTCTATAATATAATCGAATAATGACAGCGTTTGAACAACACACGACCATCATCAATCCAAAATGTTTTAGTTGTGGTTCAACTGTATATGCCGTTGAAAAGAAGAAAACAAGTAATCATGTGAGTATTGTAATTAGCAAACTCTTTATTATTTGATGAACTTTTGTAATTATGACCGAGTTTTAAATGAATAGGTATATCATGATCGATGTTTTCGATGTCGAATATGTAAAAGAACTTTGACAAGCTTAAATGTCAATGAAGAAGGAGATGATCTTTATTGTGAAAGTAAGAAAATAACATAATCTTGGGCCACTGTGGATGATGGTGGTTCAAACAATCATATCTCTCACAACATCAGATTTTCTTGAATGCGAATCTGAAAGTTGTAAAATTTAAATTGATTCACACAGTTAATAAAAATAAAAACAAAGAGCATTATGAAGTATTTCAAGTAAAACAGAATAATTCTCCAGTATAACTTTTTAACTATATAAATCATAAAATAACTTAAGTTGATGAGATATTTCAACTCTTATCCTCAGCTGCAGGTTCTGAGAAGTCCGTTTCTTGCTCAACGTCATTTACTTTAGTCGTCTTTCTTATTGGCTAATAGATTGTTATCGACGAAAACGAAAAGGTGATTGCCAAAGTTATGAATTTCAAAAAGCAGCCTTACGCGCACCATTAGTCGAAAAAACATCGCCCATTTCTCCTACAGTACGACCAGCATTTCATCGCAGTACTCAACATCCCTCGACCACGTTACGGCATTTAGAACGTCAAATACTTGGAAATAGCAATGGTCATTCTACTGATAAAGTTAGTGTGATGTTTTCTACTCCCATAAGACATTATCACTTTTTTTCCTATATTTTTAGACTGACCTTTTACCTAGACAATCTTTTTCACCAACACTAGATCATGGTTTGTCTGAAGAAATACCGTTAAGTAGATATCGACGAGATGTTGTTAATCACAGTAAACCAATACGTACAAGTCGCTCATATGATCCAAATTATTCACGTCGTCTACCTTCGATTAATGAAACCGATTTCACATCAGACGAATCTGAATCACCGGTGAATAAAACTAAAGATTATTTACCAAGGAAAGAATCTAATAACACAAAAACAACAACAAGATTGACTTCATCGTCTCCAACAATGAAAGCAACACTATCACTTATACCCACAGTATCATCGTCATCAAGGAATAAAAAAGACACTAATCATTCAAGTTCTGGTCACGCGATCGCTGATAGTCCAGAAATGGAATTCAAAATGAAAAACTACGATTTCCCTCCACGAACGAGTAAAATAATTATACCAGACCTCGATACTGATATTATTCAAAATGACAAAAGATATTCTGCCAGAACCAATGATTTTCTATACAACAGTAGTCGAATAATTGATAACCAATATCAGGCTGATAGTTTATTAAACAACTTACAGCGTTTTAAACGAACAAATGATGATAGACGTTTTGGATCAATCGTTCGAGCGTCGCCCTTGAGATTAAGTTGAAATCTTTAATTAACATACATTTTTCATTCAGCTTGTTTCTACTGTAAACTTTACCAATGAATTTTAACTTTTTAAAAGGATACTTTTGTAGTTTCGGTTAAAAAATTTTTAATGTATAGTAAAATAAGCAAGAAAATACACTCATACTTTAACCGTTTCTGTCATACCCGTCATTTCAATTATATTCTGCCCTTTTCATAGATTTCCAAGCAAAATTAATAAAATATTTGACATTAACAGGCGAAACTGAGTCGAATGGCATACTTGAAATTCATTTTTTAAACAAAAAAGTTTCAAAAAAATTTCTTGAACATTTTTTCTCTGGATGAGAGTTGGATGTGTAATATTACTGAAAAAGTTTCACTGGTTATAGGCTTTAATCAAATTTTTTCATGATTATAAGGTACATTGAATGTTGAGTCTACAGTAGAAAATTCAATTCTTAGTGACTCATCCTCGCATCTCCATGTATGTCTCAATAGAGAGTACTAGAGATGTGAAACTCGACCCGAAGGTTGCGTACGGATACAGATAGAGCAGTTGCCGGTACGGATTTCGTCTTTTTTAATTTACCCGAAAACTAAAAGGTTTTAGTGCAAAAATACAAGATTTTGGCTAAAATAAATGGAGTTTTAAAAGAGTTACTTGAGAACGTAATGATAACTTCACATCTCCAGCCGGAAAACAAAACTTTTTAGTTGGAAAACGAAAAGAAATTTTCAGACATAAGTCGGGTACGGATACAAAGTTATCGGATCGGGTTGGGTACGGATGAAAAGAACTTTTTCGAGTCGGGTACGGGTATGAAACGGGTACCCGCGCACATTTCTAGTAAGTACCCGCTCTCAGTAAATTTTAGGGCATATCAAAGTTAACCTTCATATCACATTAGCATACGGTGAGATGTCCGTAATTATTATTATTCTTGGATTAAATACTTGTGCACTGTGAAAAAATAAGTGCCCCTTGGGCGATCAATGGGACGCTTAAAATAGTCCACAGTAAAGCACTTTTCTTGACGGGACACGTTTTTATGCTTGAAAGTGTCCGGAGGAGGGTACTCTAAGTGCCCCATTCATCGTCTACAATATGCCTTTTTTAGCTGTCGGGGCACTTGTTTTTTGAGAGTGTGTACCATATCAGCGTTGTGAATATTGAAATACCTATTGAGCACAAACGGATTGATATAAGTTTTATTCTTTCAGAATATAAGTGGGTTGATCTTATTTTAGAGCCTTCGTATTTAGAAAGCTATTGTCTAATTGGTGCATTGTAATGAAATGAAGCTTTTTCAGCATGTAGGTTGTTATATTTATAGATTATAAAAAGAGAATCTCATCTTGAGATTTTCGCTTGTTGAAGAGTTGTAGGTGTCGAAAAAGTCAAAATAGGGGTATTCTGTCCGTATAGCAAAGACAAGAGCAATTTTCGCTAAACTCAGACGCTGTAATCTAAAATGACGCCGATATATTTTTGAAATTTTAGTCCGTTGCTTCTCTGAAACTTGGAGAAGCATTCCGTTTTCTTACTACTTTCTAAAAAGCAATTTTCACACAACTAGAAACAATCTACAAAACACAAAACAAACAAATCTACCCTAAAAAATGGACTCCGGAAATGGCGTATTTTTTGCGTGTTTCCTGATACGTAAGATTTTGATCTACGTATCTGACGCAGTATCCTATTGAGTCTGACTTTAAAGTCAGACTCAGGAAAATACTGCTTTGTTCAGAATTTAAATAATGTTTTGTCTACGTGCGTATTTCTTTGTACACTTCTAAAGTGTCAGAGAAAAGTGTATGATAAGGCTTTTCACTATCATCCTCCGAGCCGAGATATCATCTGGACTGAAAGAGCCAAACTGTCCAAAAGCACTTAAAGTCCGATGGACATAAAGGGTGGGCCAAAATTCTGGCTCACTCTTTATGCTTATAGTGTTTCGCTGCTTTTAGAATCAGTCTCAGCCCAAATAAAAAATCTATTCCTTAGCGTTCGCCAAAGCTGGACGAGTCTAAGGAGAAGAGTATCGAGTCCTAAATATTTAGGACCCAGTCCAATAATGTTTTAAATTCTTTTTTGATTCCTGTGGTTTATTTGTCTTAACTTTGTTCGCATATAATATATCAATCTTGTTCTAACAGAAAGAGTTACTAAAGTAAACTTCTATTAAATATTAAAAATGTCAGTTGAGATAGATTTTTTGTGTAGGTTGCTCTCTCATGTTCATTGTTTATTTAACCTAAAATTTGAATCGATCAGATTCGAATTGCATAAGAGTCAAGTCCAAGTCTTCAAAAAACATCGGACTCGCACAGTCGTAGCTTATGCATATCTGTTCTTTAATTAGAAATTGTGATTGGTAGCTGACACAAAACACGAAGGAAACGTCGATTTGAATCAGGGATGGTTCCAGTGTTAAATAAACAAAACTATAGTGTTACATCTCTTTTACACATACTTCTGAAACATTCGTTTTAATGTAAATGATCTGACTGCCGAGAGACTGGATCAGTCATCGTTTGGATAAGCGGACGCTTAGATGGAAAGTCAGATTGATTATTATCGGTTTAAGACCACTCTGATAACATAGTTTAGAGTTAAGAATTTCTGTGATACGTTGATCTTCAAAGACTTAAGCAAAATTTAAGAGTTGATTTCGACGTAAATGCTACTAAAGATTTTTATGGTATGTCACCTATTAAACAAATGAATCACAGACTTACAAAGAGCAAAAATATCGTATTAAGATTGTAATCCGTTCATAAGATATTAATGCACTTGCTCGTACAGTGTGAAGGATAGATGCCAAAAACGTATTCGTCATTTTTATGTACAGGTTACACACCATGTCAGTAAAATGAGGACAGATACATATGTCTGGGGGGTAACAGAATGGAATTCGTCTGAACTAATCTGATAAACGTACATTTTCCAAAGCTTTTTTCTAAGAAAGGTTTTTCCTCAAAAACTCGATAGTTAGTACCGATCTTTTAATCCTCTATTTTGAAAACTGTGCCAATGTACCATACATTAATCTGTTTCTTTCATTCTCGAATCGTATATAAATGTACACATATTACAGATCGCGCTTTGTTTAGTTCTTTTGTCATTTTCTTCTGTGGTATGACAGTGCATCAGAGAGACTATGACTAATTTATTCACAAAAAGTAAGAATTATTAAAGGTCCACGATCTGTAATAACAATGACTCAAGCCAAACAACATAAAAGAGTAATGATAAACAAAAAGAAGAAAACTGGATTGAAGGACACAGACAACTAAATAGAGGATCAAATTTACTTCGATTTGTTTTCTCTCCTTTTTAGATTCTATAACAATGAAGCGAAAGGTTGATAGTGACGATTCAAAACAACGTAAAAATAAAAAACGTATGAAGAACTCCCGTAATATCGATATCGATTCACCTGCTGAAAAATTATCAGTTTTACCGGCAACACGTTCATCTGAAGATGTTCAATCAATGAAATGTAATTGGACAAATAAACAAAAAGTACTGATATTCTCCACACGTGGCGTCTCGTATTTAGCAAGGCATGTAATGAAAAATCTACGTGCATTAATGCCGCATACAAAATCTGAACCAAAAATCGAAATACGTAAATCATTTTCAATTTTAAACGAAGTTGTTGAATTAAGAAACTGTAATAAAGTATTATTTTTTGATATGAAGAAAAAGAAAGATTTATATTTGTGGATGGGTAATGTACCAGATGGACCAACGGTAAAATTTTTAGTAGAAAATCTACATACAATGGAAGAATTAAAATTAACGGGAAATTGTTTAAAAGGATCAAGACCATTATTATCGTTTGATGAAAAATTTGACAAAGAATCACATTGGAAATTAATTAAAGAGTTATTAACTCAAATATTTGGTACACCATATCATCAGCCAAAATCACAACCTTTTGTTGATCATGTTTTATCGTTTTCAATTATTGATAATAAAATATGGTTTAGAAATTATCAAATTGTCGAAGAAAATGGAGCATTAGCCGAAATAGGACCAAGGTAAGACATTCTGTATTTTGATTTTTGTGTTTCTAGTCGAGTTAATCATCGAAGAACATCTGTCATCAAACTATCTGGTTTTATCGGCTTTTTTCGTTTATAAGAAATCAGTGAAAAAAAGCTCCTGCATATTCATCCTATCAAAAATCTTAAAAACGTTTTATGAACTAATTTCAGAGTTCTATAGTAAACATTAGCTGACCAACTTTTATGAGTTATTCTTCCCCATACTATATTATAATTGGTTTTATTTATATTGTTTAGATTTGTTTTGAATCTTCACTGTATATTTGAGAAAAGTTTTTGTGGCATGTTATTATATGAGAATCCACAATATATTGCGCCAAATTTAAAACGTCGATTAGCTAAAATGAAAGCATCTCAAAAATACAAAGAACGTATTTATTCTAAAGTAGCTTTTGACCAAACAAAACCCAAAGAAAGTTATACTTACGATAAAACAGATGAAATATTTCAAACAAAATTAGCAGAAAATGCTGAAGAATAATTTTTTTTTTTATTCTTGATAAAGTTTTTTACGTTTGTTATTTCTCTTTTCATGTAATTCTATTCTGTGGGATATCCTTAAAGAGAATAGTATATTGGTATCGTAATTGTTAATTTTGTTTTCTTTCAGAAAGAATTATGTATTTGTCTACTGAACGATTGTGTATGTTGACCTATAGGAAATGTGTTTCTTTAAAGACAAATAGTACAGTATTATTTTCCGAAAAACTTTAGTCAAAGTTTTTATTCGTCATACCCACTATTATTGGTCACTTTTGTGTTTATCTTTTGAGTTTAATAGAGTACCGTTTTATTTACGATTTTTTAGATAATTAGAAACAAACTCCATTATGGCTATTCGTATCTTAGTTGGAGTGAAACGTGCTATTGATTATGCCGTTAAAGTACATATATTTACTGTGTCTATTGATAGCAGTGTTTATCACTTCTTTCTTACGTTATTATTTTAGGTTCAAGTTAAATCAGACAAATCGGGAGTGGTTACAGATGGTGTTAAACATTCGATGAATCCATTTGACGAAATAGCTGTTGAAGAAGCGATACGTTTAAAAGAGAAAAAAGTAGCACAAGAGGTCATTGCTGTTTCATGTGGCCCACAACAATGTCAGGTATATTGAGATTTGTTTTTTTTGGAATTGTCTAATGTTCTTCTTAATTTAGGAAACACTTCGCACAGCTTTGGCACTGGGTGCCGATCGTGCAGTACACGTTGAAGTAACTGGCAAAGATTATGAAATGTTACAACCATTGGCTATATCAAAAATTATTGCAGCTATTGCTAAAAAGGAGAACGTTGATTTGATATTATTAGGAAAATTGGTATGAATGTTTATCGTTAAATTGATTATGATATACAGAATGATTGCGTACTTAAGGCCATCGATGACGATTCAAATCAAACTGGACAAATGGTGGCGGGATTATTATCTTGGCCTCAGGTAAAGAAAAAGCAAGTTATTTTTTGAATACTGTGTTCTTATAACTTTGGAAAAAGAGCGTTGTATTTTTTTAATGTTCTCAAGTCATTACGCTCGTTAAAAAAACAATAAATGGATGAAAGAATCCCACAGTCGGTTCCGTTGTTTTTTCTTTTATGTGTCATTTGAAATAGTCTTATTTCAAATCGATTGTAAGTCGGACAAGGTCTTAGTTGTTAGCTTCCTAGTGCTTTCTTGAATTAGCACGGCGAAAACTTTTGCCTACAACGAGTACGGATGTGACAAGTCTTGGAAGCTGACCTCAGGGATCGTTTATTGCAATACAAACTCCCCGAGCTCAACCGAACATTGTTTCGTTCGACTTAGCTAAAAATCCAAAAAGATGGCAATTTTAGCCTTTTTAGGTTCTTTTTATTGAATTTTATCAATTTAGCACTAGTTTAAGATAGAGTACAGAAAACTGATTAAGTTTGATGTAGCAGCTTGACAGATCCTGGCGGTTTTGACTATTGAAAATAAGCGATCTTTGAGGTCGCGTGTCATGGCTTGGTACGTCCCTAGTAACGAGGTTGACTTACTTTTTCGTAAATCGATAATTGTTCCAACTCTAATAACACTAATCGGTTGGTTCCGCAACGACAACTTTTCTAAAAAGTTCAGAATTATATAATTGTGTGGTGATATAAATTTTTTATTGTTCTAGGCCATGTTTGCATCAGAAATCGAAATAAAAGACAAAAAAGCTGAAGTAACACGTGAAATTGATGGTGGTGCAGATACAGTACGCGTTAATTTACCAGCTGTTATTACGGCTGATTTAAGATTAAATCAACCACGTTTTGCCAATTTACCATCAATTCAGGTACACAAAGGAATAACTACCACTTAATATATTCATTATCTTATATATTTCTGAACGCATTTAGAAAGCAAAAAAGAAACCGTTAACAAAAATGACACCGAGTGACTTGAATGTTGACATAAAACCTCGACAAGAGTATTTGTCATATGAAGAACCACCAAAACGTCAAGGTGGTGGAAAACCACTTGCCAATGTTGAAGAACTTGTCAGTAAATTGAGACAAGCTGGTGTTGTATGATTTATTTATGATTCTTTTTTTTTTTTAAGTTATTTTGTAATTTGAATACAAGGTTGTTTCTCTTTTTCGATCGGTAATATCTATGTTAATGATTTTTTTTTCTAAAATTTTGTGATCTATGCAGTTTAAACAAAAAATAGATATCACTTTCAACTTTTGTTATACAAGCATTTTTGTCAACAGAGATGAAATACTTGAAAGTATTTTATCGTTGTTCATTCTCTTTTCTTTGTCTAAGTATATATATATTGCGAAAGCAACGTTTCTGTCCTCGTCTGTGTGTAATTTTATTCATGTATTTTTATTCTGGTGTC